ATTTATAAATAAGTTCTTAAATTTCAGTTAATTTTCTTAAAACATAGTACAATAAATAAAAAAATATAGAAAACAATGACTTTTTTTCCACTTGCCAACTTTATACTCATTTACCTGCTTGTCATAATTTGCTAAGCCTTGTCAAATTTCACACGTGGAGGATGTAAAACAAAATACTTTTTTTAAGTTTTATATATGCATTTTGAAATAACTAAATATTTTAAATTACTTTATCAATATCACAGAATTCCACTCTAATTTATCAGGCTTATTAACTAAATTGTTTTTGGGTAAAGGAATAGTGTTGTTTTTCAGACAACATTTTCACTAACCTTTCCTTCTGAGATTAGAGACAAAGAAATAATCTTGGGAACTTCCCACCTTCTAGAGTGAATCATAATCTACAATTTGATACCAAACTTATTAGTATACAATCATAAAATAGTAGATCAATAAAATTTTGAATGTAAGTCTACAAATGTGATGACGTTCCCTTTGACCCTAGAAAGATCCGTAGCAATAGAGTTAATCGTATTAATGCATGTTGATAAAGATTTAACCTTTCTGGTAAAATAAAATGATTGAAAAAAAAGGCAATTTGTGTTAATTTTTTTTTTTTTTTATGCATTTTACTTCTGTTGATATATTTTACAAGCTTGTCAATCTATGTCAGTGACTTTGAAAACATAAGTTTGGATTTTTTATCACCACAAAGAAGAACATTCCCCTTCCAAAAATTTACCAGTTTCAAATTTTAGATAAATAATAAAATATTAGAACTTGTCTGTTTGTGTGTGTAAAAATAAACCTGACTGTGGGAAAGTTCTTTATCTAAATGTGGAAGTTAAACAGTTAAAGTCAGTGACATTGGTCACTATTGACTCGTTAAAAAAGATACAGTGAAGTTTGTTTTTATTTGTAGTGGAACTTTTTCAAATAATCATTTATTTTTTGGTAGAAGTTTTAAAACATTTTGCTTCATTTTTATATTTGGAATAGATGTGGTGGGTGTGTTGTTTTCAGGGCCTTTTGTAACAGTATAATTTTTTATGTACTTGGACAAAAAAATATCTACTTTAATATGTATACAACTGCTTAAAAATAGGCATTTTAAAGTGTAAATGTGTTGTTTTATTCAAAAGTAAACTTTCATTGAAATGAAATTTAAATTTTCATAAACTTTTTGTAAGTGAGAATTTATAAAAAACGAATATATTCTGTTTAAATTCTGTTCTTTTTACATGACATTTAAAGAGATTTTTGTTGGTTCATTCCATTTTTTTTTATTTTTGTGGAAATATAGGTATTGAACATTCACATTTAATATTCAATTATAATTTAATTTTTATGTTTAGAAAAAATAGGTGAAAGGCCTAATCCTTATTCATCCAAACTATTTTGAAAACAAATGTTTGATGCCTACAAAAAAAAAATTAAGATAATCAAGTAGAAATAAATGCAACTTCAGATTAAATCATGTGTCATATACGTAAATGAAAAAATGGAAACATGGGTTGAGCACTTAAAGATGGTTGTTATAAAGAGAATCAAGTTTGATAAGACAGTTTTAGCTACCTATTCAATGTATGTTGGATATGTGTGAGATTGGAGTGTACACTTACTCTTTCATGTTTGTTTTTGTTGTATGTTTCTATACTTATTTATTGTATACATAATATTTTGGTCCCAAGTTTGTTTTAATACCACGGCTCCGTTTTATAAGTGAAATGTTTGGTAAAATATTTGAATTAGCATTTAATGAGTATGAGTGACTATCAAAGCACCATTCTTTACTATCCTATAAGTACACACAGTAATCTATATGTCTTGAGAACATCTCACCTGAAGAACTTTTTTACATTATATGTTTTAATAATTTAGGTTACAAATTCTTAAAACAAGTTATGCTTTCACATCTAAAGTAAATTAAAGCTTAATTTATTGTTTTTAATTGAACACAATTGATCAAGTGCTTTAATCATAGCAGTTGTAATTTATGTGTGATTTTCTACCAATTTTCTTATTTTTGTAAGTCTTAGTTGAGCATAAAGTTTTAATATAAGAAAGGATTTGTAAAACATTTTGACTATCTTTTTGTTTTTATTGTTCACCTACTCTACTCACTGTCCTTGCTTATAGGATTATGCAGAGTTTTGTCAATCATAGTATTATATTGTGATGAACATAATTTGTCTAAAATAAGGTTTTCGCATCTGATGATAGTAAGTCTAATCATTAGTATGGATGTATACGAATCATTAGACCGTGGACATAATAAATGATGAATTACAATTAATTTATAGCTTGTGGTTATTTCATTTGAGGCAACTATTGCAGTGAAGAGTTTATCATAAATTCTAAAAAGCTGAGTACTTTTGTGAATTTGGACAAAAATTTAAAATTTGTGTACTCTTTAAATATTATCATTTAAAAAAGAAATCTTTGGTGAAATTTCTCACAAATGATGGCTGGGGCTGTGATATTCACAAGTAAAACTGTAACCAACAAAATTGCAATACTGGAGGTTTAAAAGGAGTTGTGTTATAGGAGAATAAATCAAACACAAAGAGTGATAAATATTAAATATAAGTGTAACATGAAGATTTTAAACATTTACTACAATATGACAGAGGACTAGTATTCCACTCTTATTATACAAGCTGGCTTGTAGTTGTTAGAGTGAAGAGAAAACTTAAATATACTGAATGAAAACAAAAGAAAAACTGTGATTTTAATCAAACTATTGTCCAAGTGCAATATTCAACAATCATAGATTACATATAGGTCACTATCATATTATAATTTAAAGAATTAAACACTCTGCTTATATTAACCTGTGCAAACATCTATATAATTCTTTCACTTTGGTGTGACCCCCACACCATTAAGGGAAACACTTATATATAGTCCAAACAAAGAGTATGAACTCTTGAATAACCTTTGCATAAGACAGTAATTATAAAAATGGAGAGCTGACTACATTCTGTTCAAAAGGACAGCTGCATGAAAAGTTTTAATATTTACTCAGATATAACCAGTTTCTGAGGTACAGTAGGGTAGAACTTGTAATTTTAAAGTGCTATAATATTTCCTTCTTTATCTCTAGGCTTTCCTAAGCCAAAACTAAAAATTAATATTAATGAACAAATTTATTTAAATGTCAATCAACTCTTCTTTGGTTCCAGTATTCACCATTTTTTTTTAACTGTGTTTGTGAAGGATGCCATGATACTTACAAATTAAACAAGGAAAATATCTATTATTTCATACAGGCTGCAACAGTCAACAAAACACACCAAACTGTATAAAATTGCAAAATAAACTCAAATTATTGGGCATGCAGAGAAATAAAATGTAGTATTGAAATGAGCAGTACTCGGATGACAAGAAACTTGTGAAGTAATGTAAAACAGTAAATGACAATTGACAATTCAAATTATAAAAACCAAAAATGAAAATAGAAGTGAGCTAAATCATGATTGAAACAAACATAACATATATAAACAAATGCAAAATTAAGAAACTAAGTCGATCAAATGGGATTCAACAAATCTGGTCAGTGCAAAGAAGTTAAAACTAACAAAGGTAATATAGAATAACAAAGTTAAAACTTAAATTATAAGTAATGACAAAAAAGTGGGTTTCGAAATTAAATCAAACAATCCTAAAATGAAGATTAACATTCCAAAGCAAAATATGATTCCTTAAAATATGACAAATAAATTAATTAATAAAATAAAATAAAAATTGATACAGGATGGCAGATAACAGAAACTGGTGAAACAAAACAAAAGTAGCAAAGCAAATATTTTCATTCTAAAATACAATGTAAAATGTTCAGGTAAAAACTGAACCAGTTAAGATAATTATTAAACTTCATTGCTACGTTTAAACACATGTATGGTCACCTAACTATAAATTAGTTACTTATTTGTTTACTTTTTAGTATTAGGTACTAATTAGTTAAATATATAGCATATATATCCTATGTTTTGAATGATAATATGCTGTTGTTTTTAGGGAAGTTCTGAGAGAACACAACTGTTGTCAGTGCCCCGAACTGTCAGGACATAGCGGGCTCTTTAATTGTGTCAAATGTTTTGAGTTTTTTTTGTTTGTTTGTTTTTTCAGTTAAAACAGTTATATTTTTATAACCTATTTATATCATTACTTTGTATTAACTCTATACAACAAAAACATAATCATCCATTAAACTAGTTCTCAAGATTCTCATTTATGGCATTGACATTCACCCCCGCTAGCTCAACTGTAAGTCTGATGGCTTATAACACCAAAAATTGGGTTTTAATACCCGTGGTTGGTATAGCACAGATAGCCTATTGTCTAGCTTTATACTTAACAATAAAGAGACATAGAGTTTGGTTTGGTTTAGAATTTTGCAAAAAGCTACATGAGGGCTATCAGAGCTAGTCGTTCCTAATTTAGCAATGATAGACTAGAGGAAAGGCAGCTAGGCAACAACACCCACCGCCAACTCTTGGGTTACTCTTTTACCAAAAAATAGTGGGATTGACTATCACGTTATAATGCTGAAAGGACAAACATGTTTGGTGAAATGAATTCAAATTGCGAGTCAAGCATCTTACCACCAGGCCATGCTAGGCCCTCAAACATAGAG